CCATCAGGCCCAGGGGCCTTGCCAGTTTTGCACCTCCTGAGCTGCTGGTGGACGTTTTCCACTGTGGGGAAGACAAATTGTGGCTGGTCAGGGGTGGGTAGGCTCCTGAGCAATCTTTCACACTCAGTGGTGAAGTTCATGTTGTCAAACCTAAAAAGTTGTTTAGGTCTCTGGTGAATGAGTTGGGGTCAATGGGTGCAGGGGTCCTAGCTTTTGACGTGGTGCCAGTTAGTGTTTTGACTTTCTGGAATGCCTGTCTGGTGTTCATGCTGCTGAAATCCTGTTCTAATTTGTCCTTGTATGCTAGTTTAGCCTTTTGTATTTCTTTTTTCACGGACCGGTCTTCCAACCACTCAGAGCGCTTTTTACACTACATGCTTTCACTCACTTTCACACACATTCACACAGTGAAAAACTAATTCATTCATACACATTCACATTGTACAGATCGAACCAACAACCTTCTGATTAGTGGATGACCCGCTCTGCCTCTGAGCCACAGCCGCCTGCCACACTACCACTAGTGTTTCTTCATTACTGTAGTTTCTCGTTTGGCCTTGGACACTGGCCCTTTCATATAATTTGCTTCTTTTTAACCAAGAAGTTCTAGAACCTATGGAGCTCCAGAATCTAAATAGAACCAAAAGTCACATGCCATACCTTTTCACAGCGTCTGAATAACTATAAAGATTAAGCACATTAGACGGATGTTACATTACAAATGTTGGTGACGATGCAATGGGGACAGAGTCATCGGTCAGAGTTGTTGTTTGCATTTACTGTTGTGTGACTGATGTTTGAATAAATGTAATGAATAAATGAAAACCTCCATAGCACAGTGCAGGGTGATTTGTTTACTCTTCAAAAAGTAACCCCAGTGAAAAATAGCAAATGTTTCCCTTGTTCAATCGCTTTTTTGTCTAGCTCTTTGCTTGTGCTCCCTCTTTATCTCGCTCTTTTTACACTTACCAAGAAGCCCACAGCACAAGTTTGTTTTTTACTTTGATAAAATAAATATCCATCCCTTGTTCTATTCGGGGTTCTAGTGTGTAAATGAAGTCCTACACAAGTTGTAGCAGCTGCGAAGGCTGGGCTTATGACTTGTCTCAACAGAAAAGCACTCACATACTCTGTAATGTGGCTCCGCCTCGCTCCAGGACAGGAGATACTGGAGCTTTGTTTCCACACACTTGAGGCCTTAGCAGTGTTGACTCAGTATGAGACTGTGTTCTTGCATCTCTCACGGAGCGGCTGCCTGAGAACACGACATCTGGGTTTCTCTCATTATCTGACGAATTCACATACTAATTCAAGGCCTGTGAGCTTGTTCAGCCGACGCTCGTCAGCCACTAAGTCCTCCCTCTCTGGAAACAAAACCAAACAGCTCTGCATGTTTGTGGCTCTGAATGTGAAGCAGAGCTGGCATCAGATTAACTTCTGTTCAGTCTATATGTGGCTAGAAAACAGATAATTAAAGTTTGCTTTGTTTTCATTTCAGAATCTATAACACATTTACAAAAATCTCTGAATGTTGTAGCAGTTCAACTTAGGCACATGTTAGCTCCTTCTATTTAAAAAATGAATCACGTGCAGAGAAAATAACACTGTAGTCAGCTGAGCAGTGGTTGTGTGAACCATAGTTGTGCAAAGTCGTCCCTTGCTGTCTGTCCGTTGTCATAATCTACAGTATGTTATATTAGGTGTGTGTGTAGAAATATTCTGCTGCGGTGGTTGGTGTTATCACAGCATTATGTAAAGAGCTGCTTCAAGGTACCCTGTGGAATCTTGGAAACAAACATACACGTGTTTATACTCACTCACACGTGTTTCTCAATAGAATACATTGACTTAATAAACATATTCAATGCATTTCATTCCTCATTGTGATTTTTGTATAGTTTGAAACCTATTTCTTTGCACATTAAATACACTACAACGACTTTTTAAATGGTAATGAAACAGTCTCTGTTTAATATGGATGCCTCTATATGTTCTGATTAAATCT